TGGATCATTTCCACTTGTTCTTTATTTTGATCAAGCTGTTGAAGGGGTCAACTCATCAACTGTTACAGTTGAATGTGCATTTAGCACGAATAAAGATCTTATCTGGAAACCCATTTTGATAAATAAATCAGGAGCTGCCCAAGTTTGGGTTACACATTTGCAATTCCCTGATTCAGAGCTCCATTGTTCAGTGGAGGTTAGTGTTGGACATTCTTCGGGAATCATCTCGTCAAGAGGATGTCAATATGGCAATCCTTCTCGGTTTGCATTTACTGTACATGTACAACATTTTGAAATGAATACTAGTGAAGGTTTGGGTGGAAGCTGTATTTCCTGGAGAGAAGAAAATTTTAACATTTATGATACAGAAACTCAGGAATCAAGTGCCTCTGTTTCTTTTGGTCAACTAAGTATAAATGATGATCATGAACCAACTGCTTTGGATTGGCGTGCGGAGGCTGTAGCCAAAGAGATTGAATGCTTCCGTGAATTATTGTCATTGACAGACTGGTAAACTTTGATTGATAATCTTAAACTCTGAATAAGTGATATTGTCATTAATGCCTTTTCTCAAATGCATGCAGTAAAATTGGGAAGCTTACACTTGCAAGGTTGTTGATGGCTTATGACACAATGACACTTTCATGTGCTGACAAATCAAATCACTACAATGAAGTCCTTGAACTCTTGGTTGGTTTAATTAATTTGGATCAGTCACATCATCAATTCTACAAGAATGAACATAGCATAGTTCTATTACAGCAGGTAAGTCCTACCTCTTTGGAAATTTCTATAAGGAAGTATTATCCTTTTCTAACATTCATTTTTGACTCCTAGTGTTTCTGATTTTTTGTTTAGACAGTGGATTTGTAACTCCTTTTTTGATTTATAAATGCTAATGCTTGGTTATACTGTTAAAGTTTCTGTTTTACTTGTTCTCTACTATGTCTTCTTAATGTTAGATTAGCCAATGAACTATCATATATGTTTTATTTGAATTAAGCTGTTGCTGGTGAAACAAATTATTTCATTGGATGGCTACATGTGGCCAACATGATTCAGCTCAAGGGCATGTTGCATGTTGGATCCTTCCTGTTTCTTAATTGTACTGTCAATAGACTCAATTCTCAGTTCCTGATAAAAACAGTGATTTTGACTGGTTTTTTTTATGTTTGTTACTTTATTCTTGGATTTCACACTGAGATTTACAGATAATAGTATTTTGTTATTTCTGCAGGTGGCTTCAAGCAGGGAGTATTTGCTAAGACACTGCTTTAATTATAGAGGCATAACTCACGTAGATATTGGCAATCCTATCTGTCTTAGACTGAATAAAATGTCATTATCTCGATTAGGAGCTTTTGCAAATTTATTGTGGGTCCAAATGTTGGACCTCAGCCACAATGAGCTATGGTCAATTGAAGGTATGCTCTACTCTATTTGATATCCAAAATTTGGTGCTCTGATTGGAGAGTTTTCTGCAGATTCCTCATAACTGTGCTTATCATTATACAATTTTTTATTTTTTTGTTATGACACTCAAGATATTGCTTTCCTCTTTACCCTGCATCCCTTTTCTACCCAATGCTCTTCAGCACCTAATTGTTTGCTAAGTAACATAGTGTTCCATTGAGTTTTATTGCAATCCCTTTTCTTCTATTCAAATAAATGATTTTTCACTAAGAAAAAGAATGTTGTCTTGGTTATGACAGGACTGGAGGCTCTGCAGCTCCTTTCTTGCTTGAATCTGAGTAACAACAAGATCAGTAGTTTTACTGCTTTGGAACCTCTGAGACAGCTCAAGTCGTTAAAAGCATTGGATATTTCATACAACCAGATTGGTGAACACTCTATTGACACAACTAGGTATTTGTTCTGTTCTCCTTTGTCTCATTCAGTTGGAAGTGAATGGAGTAAGGATGAAATTCAATCCTATGGTGGAGCTACAACCAATTACTGGGAAGCATTTTTTATTTTCAAAGGATTGAACTTGAAACAGTTAGAAATTGTAGGGAATGTAATCGCTGATGAAAATTTCAGGTCTTTTTTGGTAAAAACCCTTCCTACACTACAGTGGCTAGATGGTGAAAAATTAAATTAGTTTCCATCGTCCCTTTTTGGTATCCCTTTTCACCTCCATGTGCACAATGTCTTTAATGTACCATGATAATTTATTACAGAACTTGCTATCTTGTGAAAGGTGTTATAGAAATGAAACATATTTTCATTATGGAATTTTTCATTCAAGGCCTTCCATTGGAAACCAGTTTTATGGTTTCATAATTGCCTTTTTCTTAGCAGATAATGAACAGATAAGCTAAAACATTTTGAATTTTTTGACTTCTGAACTCAAGATATTTGAGAACATTACTCCCCTCATGTATCCTTTCCCTGGAATTTGGTTCTCTCTCTATTTAATGAGCATGGCGGAGCGAGGATCCTGTCTGTAGTTTGAAGATAAGCAGCCTTCTGGGAAATGGTATGATTTTATCACAAAGCATCATCAGCCATTGATGAGATGGATCGGGCAAATGGTACCCAGAATAGCAAAGACATAGTCGAAGACGCTGAATGCAGTGGTGGCAAATATCTCATCTTTAGGCACTATGAAATGAAGAAATGCAGAAACTTCATCGCCAAAGTGATAATTCCATCCTGAAATCTCCTCTCCACAGCACCCCATATATCAACTTTATCTGCATATCACAACGCAAAAATCTAAATAATCAGTACAAGGAAAGGAAAACAATAACACCATTCCTTTCAAGATAGCAAACAACAGCGGTCAGAATGAATCAGAGAAACATTTGACTCACCAAAATGCAATGGAAAATACGAGCGAGCAAGGATGCCAATGAACAGCCCCACTAGGGCAACATGCATTATTGTAGCTGTTTTCATGCTGTTTAATTTCGATGCCATTGTGATTTGCAGCCTTTTTCTCCCTTTTCTCTTCTTGGGTGACTTTCCGGCCTTCTTTGGAGCAAACTCAGTTGGGAAAAAAGACGACAACTTTCTGTTTTTTCAAGAAGTTAATAGTCCTCTTATGTAGAAATGTTATTGTGATTATTTTAGTATGAAATTAGTCATTTTTTTTATTAAATTATGAGGTTTAATTATTAGAAAATTAGTTGGTTAATTATATAATTGAGTCTTGGGGAGCAAGGAGTGAAGTCAAACCTAATTCGAAGGTAAAAAATGGTTGGTTCATATGTTGTCAACTCTAGGTTTATAATTGCACCAAACCAGAAGTCCTTCTTCAGTCTGTATCTTCACTTCGGATGTACCTATAAAGCCCCAAAATGGGTCCTTGAGGCAGACATTCTGATACTTATTAAGTCAGCAATAATCGGATCTACCTTTTTAGGATAATTAAAGAGGAGTTTTAGATCGGTTTCAATTATCTTTTTTAGGTGGCCCTTGGGAGGTATTTATAGGCCTCAATGAGGTGTCCACGTGGCTTGCTTAACAGGATAATCGGAGTGTAACGTGTTCCTTAAGGCGGTAAACTCGAGACTGGAAAATTAAGAGAAATTTTGGTGTGGGTATGCTCACCATAACTATCATGCAACTGTTTGACTAAAAAGTGCTTCACTTCAATTATTAAAGAATTATAGCAGTACGTCCCAGATCCTTAATCTCGGACCTATCCTTACAAGGTTCCTTCCTTCTTCTTGGCCTCTAGACCTCCAGGGACTTTCTTAGTTCTCCGTCCTTGAAACAATTGGTTTTTTCAAGTAATAAAGAGAATTCATTCAAGTGTGACACTGCTAAATTTGAACTGTTATCACGTACAAAAAGAGAAGCCCATTTTTCTCGTACATCTTATCCAAATCAAATCATTCCCTCGAACAATATCATTTTAAAAACAATAAAGAAAAAATGTATATAGTTTTAATTTTTAAAATAAAAATAAAATTTTAATTTTAAAATGTATTATTTTATTTAATTAAAATTTAATTTAAATTTTAAAATGTATTATTTTATTTAATTAAAATTTAATTTAAAATTTTATATTTATTTTTATTAAATATTAA